TAAATATATCCCTGGAGGGAAAAACATACTGGTGGATGCTCTGTCCAGAAAACCTCAGTTTGACAGCCACCGAGAGGAAATAGTACAAGCCTTAATTTCAGGCACTCAATTGGCAGGCCAAGTAACCACTCGAACCCAAGCTAATCGCAACCCCAAATGCCTGGAAGATAAGCTGACTGCGGAATTGAAAACGGCCCTATTGACTGATCCTTGATTCTTGGACCATCAAACCGAGTTGACAATGAATGATGGACTAGCTTGGAAAGGGACTAAGCTTTATGTACCCACAACCCTAAGACTACTAGTACTAAAGCGTAGCCATGACTCCCGGCTGGGAGGCCACTTCGGATTCCTAAAAACCTTACATTTACTAAGAAGACAGTTCTGGTGGCCAAAAATGAAACCTGATGTCAAGGACTATGTAAAAAGTTGTTCAATTTGTGCCACGATGAAACACAGAACTGAAAAAATCCCTGGCCTCCTGCAACAAGTTGCTGAACCAACCCAACCTTGGGAAGAAATCGCAATGGACTTTATTGTTGAATTACCTAAGAGTGAAGGGAATACGGTCATTTGGACAATAATTGACTTATTCTCTAAACAGGCCCATTTTATAGCCTGCAAAGGGCTTCCATCTGCGAAAAAACTTGTAAAGCTGTTCGTGAGACATATCTGTACCTCGCACAGTAATATCAGACAGAGGGGTACAATTTACCACAAAATTTTGGAGGGAATTTCTGAAATCCATTGGCTCCTCTCAAGGGAGCTCCTCTTCAGCTTTCCATCCTGCTTGTAACGGAGCAGCAAAGAGGGCTAACGCCATGATTGAACAATACATTAGGTGCTATGTAAATTATCAACAAGAAAATTGGGCTGAGTTATTACCTTTTGCAGAGGTTGCTTACAATAATGCAGTACATAGCAGCACGGGATTGACTCCATTCCAAATCAACACTGGAATGGATTTTGTTCTGATGCCAGAGTTACCTAGACAACCTCTCTCATCCATGTCCCTGACAGAATGGATGAACTCATTAAAGAAAGGGTGGGAAGATACAAAAAAAGTTTTGAATGAAGCTGCAAAAATTTATAAAAAACAGGTGGATAAACATAGATCCCTTCAACCGCCTTTTAAAGTAGGGGACAAAGTACATTTGTCAACCAAGTATCTTAGGTTGAAACTGCCCAGTAAGAAGCTAGGTCTAAAATTATTGTGTCCGTTCCCAATTTCAAAGATAATCAATCCACACTGTTCAATTACGTCTTCCTCAACTGTTGGGAAAAATTCATCCAGTGTTCCATTGTAGTTTACTAAAACCAGCTGCTACATTGATGATAAGACCACTACCACTCACTCCACCTAAACCATTGACAGTACATGGGGAAACATATTATGAGATTCAAAACATTCTCAATTTTAGATTACACCATGGCCGGTTGCAATATTTGGTCTTATGGAAAGGATACCCCCTCTCAGATGCTAATTGGGTAAAGAGTTGGGATGTTCATGCTGATCAATTGGTTAACCAATTCCATGAGGATTTTCCTCACAAACCGAAGGTCCCTCGTGGGGGGAGGGAGAGGGAGTTAAGGACAATGTATTAACCCCTATGTGTGTGTTTTTTTTCTCTTCTTTTAGGAGGAGGAGTTTTCAAGGGGGGACACCTATCAGCTTTGAAATTCAGCTGTTACACTTTTTTTAGAGAGTTAGAGGAGTTGAAAAGTTCAAGGTTATTCTGTGTGTTGTATTAAGAATTTCCAGTTGCAGTTAATTGGTTCTCGTCATTTATGAAGTGAAGAAGTGGGAGGAGAGAAGGTAGGAGAGAAGGTGGGTTCTGTGTAACGCACGAAAAAACTTTCACTTGGGAAATTGCTTTTGACATGCCCGATCTGTACCTAATAAATCAATTGGAGAGATAACATCTCGGAGTGATTGATATCATGGATACTTTCTGGATGCTTGACAGTGTGTGTGTGTGTGTGTGTGTGTGTGTGTGTGTGTGTATGAGATGGGGGGGAAGAGAAAGAGAGGTTAGATCAGATCTCTTTCTCTCTCTTACTCTCTCTCTCTCTCTCTCTCTCTCTCTCTCTCACACACACACACACACACACACACTCTCCCCCACCAACAGCAAGCCACCATCAGTCAAAATTCATATTAGTGGTCCCCGGGATTTAAAATTATGAGTTTGGTGGTCCCTGAGGTCCAAAAGGTTGGCGACCTCTGGTCTAGAGTCACTAGTAGAAGATGACCAGACTGAGCCCATGGGAGGGGTTCAAATGCATCATAAGTCATGACTCCCTGGGTACTCACAAGAGATCTAAGTCCAGTGTTCCTTGAATGCCCACTAAATTCATGCTCATTTCCCTCGATCGTTAATAGATCAGATTTTTGTAGAGAGCTTAAAGTTTGCAATAAATCTTTATACTCATTTGAACTGCCAGAAACTTCTGATTTCCTCAGTGCTTGACATCACCTTGGATAGCAGCAATATGGATGGCATATATGTGAAAATATGATAGCATATCCCTGTCCATAAAGTTCTAATATGATTTCTTATATTCAAATTCTAACAGATCTTAAAGAAAACTCACAGTGCTAAATATTATGTATAATGTTGATGACATTCCCTTGATTCCATTCCATTATTCAGTTTATGTTTATGGTCATAACAGATCAGCCTAGTCTAATTATCCCTTCACATATGTACTATATACTATCAGTTATGACCATAGAAAAAAATTGAAGAATGGAATACATCTTTATTTAAAATCAAGGGAATGTCTTCAATATTATGTAAAACTCTCATATTAAGCACGGAATCTTTAAGATTTTTTAGAATTTGAACTTGAGAAATCATATCAGAATTTTTCAGCATCAAATACCTTTTAAATCTATTTTAGAAATTTATCAAGATTGACATTGAAAGTAATACTAAAGTTCTAAAAGCATTAAACTAGTATTCCACCAAAATCACTATACATATCAATTGCAACAATTCCATAATTGTGTTGGCAAAGCTATAAACAAAAATGGTACATATTTATCACCTTTAATGATAGTTTTAATTGTGGAAATATTCAGTTTGGAGATTCACTTCAAAGGTAATTTTATCTGATCTGATTTCTAAATTGAGATTATTTGAACCAGGCACATTTCCAATCCACATGTGTGCTTCAATTTCTGAATTTGTTCAAACCAATTTGAATTGGCAGAGTTCTATAGATGTATTCAATCAGTGTATTCAATTTATAAGTTATGCAAATCAGAGAAAATACATTTTTGAATAAAATTAATTATTCAAATGAAATTTGACCTGATTGGCAGAACCCTGTTGTTTATACATAATTACAGATAGTCCTTGATTTATAACCATTTGTTTAATGATGGTTCAAAGTTACAGGAGTTTTGGAAATATTGACTTAAACTTTGTCCTCATACTTATGACCAACATACCATCCCTGCAGTCACATGATTGCAATTTGGACACTTGGCAACACAATTTGCTACCTGTTTTTCCTATTTATAGCAAAAAATGCTCATTGGAAAAGCTGGATCTGCATAATAACCACAGGATTCACTTAATAATTACAGTATTTACTTAATGGCTGATGTAAAAGTTGTCCTAAAATAGGATCTGACTCCATTTACAATCACAATGACTTATGAATTCCAGTCACAATTTTGGTCATAAATTGAGGATAACCTGTAGTTATTCTGTTGGTAAAATTTTGAAGAATTTTATAATGAATTTTTCTCTTGATTTATCTTTTTCTAAGGATGTGAAAATTTATGCAAAATAAAACAACACCTCATGATCATTTCCTTCATAATTTGGTAAAAAATGAGAGTTGATACTTTTTTTCCTTCACAATTTTATTAAATACGATGTGCAATTGTCTTCAGTTCTTCTGCTATGCTTTATTTTAAGTCCTCATTGGATTGTTTGCAATTGCATTTTATCTATTATTGTTGGGTAACTGTCAGATAGGCTGGAAGGAGGAGTTAAGTGAGGACCTAACTTAGAGTCTTTGTGCAGCCACAAGAGGCATAAGTGTGATCTCTCTCCAAGATCCATGAAGCCTTATCTGGTCATTCCAAGGGAAAGGCAAGTAATTTGGGGGAAGTTTTGTAATTTAAGTAAAAATCAATAAAGTTGCTTACTCTAGCTATCTATGAGTAGCTTTGGTTGCTTATGTGACATTATGTTTCTAAATAGGGTTTGAAATTTTCTGGCTTTGAAACCTGCAGTTACTTTTGAAGCTGTTTTAGTGCAAAATAGTTACAGATTACAGATTAACAGAGTTGGACAGGACCTTGTAGGTCATCTAGTCCAATCCCCCACCCAAGCAGGAGACCCTATACCATTTTTGACAGATGGCAGTCCAATCTCTTCTTGAAAGTCTCAAGTGATGAAGCTCCCACAACTTCCAAAGGCAACTTCTGTTCCATGGGTTGATTGTTCTCAATGTCAGAAAATTTATTTTCAGGTTGAATCTCTCCTTGATCCGTTTCCATCCATTATTCCTTGTTTGGCCTTCGGGTGCCTTGGAAAATAGCTTGATCCCTTCCTCTCTGTGGCAGCCCCTCAAATATTGGAACACTGCTATCATGTCTCCCCTGGTCCTTCTCTTCACTAGACTATCCATGCCCAGTTCCTGTAACTGTTCATTGTATGTTTTAGCCTCCAGTCCCCTAATCATCCTGGTTTCTCTTCTCTGCACTTTTTCTAGAGTCTCAACATATTTTTATAGTGTGGTGACCAAAACTGAATGTTGTATTCTAGGTGTGGTCTTATTAAGGCTTTATAGAGTGGTATTAGTAACTCATTTGATCTTAATTGTATCCCTCTGTTAATGCAGCCTAGGATTTCATTGGCTTTTTTGGTTGCCACTGCACACTATTGGCTCATATTTAACTGGTTGTCCATTAAGACTCCAAGGTCCATTTTTGTTCCCACCTCTTAGAAGAAACATTAAGAAGAGAGACAAGATCATACCTTTGGCAGTTGTCCAAGAGCCCAGGCAGGAATCAATATCGATGATAGTTGCAATGACCCAGTGCATGATCTCCAACAACACACAATGCAAAGATGTTCTTTGAAGTTGAAGAGAAGCCCTAAATGATGAGATAAGACCGAATGACCTGAAATAATATGACCTAATTGCTTTACCCTTGGCCAGGTTTCAATTCATTTTCCTCATGATTAAAAAAGAATGCAGGAGAAAGCTGTTAACTGAAGTTCAAAATGCTGAAAGAATAAACATGCAATTTCCCCAGCTGCAAAAAAGTTAATTTTGTGCATCCTTTCCTTTGCACAATGTGTTTAACCCCAGTGCAGAAGCTGTGCAAAGTCAATAAACGATTATCACACCCCAAGTAAACAATTACATCAGTGGCAAGGTGGGAACACCAGCAAACAATGTAATTATTGCATTAATTACATAAGATCTTCTCTACAAAAGTGGGGGGAGGGGGCTGAAAAGTTGTGGAAAAGATCTCTGCAGAAAAAAGGGCATTTCTGAAATGGCTGCTGTTAGGACATTGCAGATATAATGTAACAGTATCCTCGACTTTGGGCTGTTGCAAAAATCTCATATTCTGCTGACAGATGAATTACAATGTTCAGAGTGTAATGGCTCACCAGTTATGTGATGTGCACACACAACTGTGTAAAGTCCTTACTCTGCCATGCAAGATTTATTACCTAATTACAAAGGCTCCAGCTACAGAATCAAGTTGTGCTCTATCAGTATGGTGTGATGGTATAATGGTTACATTCTGCATCTCCCCAAGACTTTTAGCAAAAAATCTTTAAAATAATTGAGTTTTCCAGCAGGGATACGGTTATGTACGAGCCTACTTTAGGCCCTGCGTATTATAATTCTGTTCTATGTGTCCTTCTAATCCCTGTCTCCAAGGATATTTTAATGTTGTTTATTATTGGTTTATTGGAGCTTTCTTTTCTTTAATAAATGTGTTTGTTGTATGAGTTAATTCAGCGATTAAGGTGGATTTCTGTGTCCAGTGTGTGTGTGTGTGTGTGTGTGTGTGTGTGTGTGTGAAAAGTCAAGATGGCAGCCATACAGCTAAAGCCTTTCCCCTTTTGGCATACATTCCACACATTACTTATATGGGTAGTCCTTGATTTACATCCACAATTGGGACCAGAATTTTCATTGCTAACTGAGATGGTTGCTAAGTGATAGTTTGGGGAAACGAGGTAGGTCTTTGTGTCTGCATACCTGAGCTTAGTTCTATTATGAGGCTAAATAGCAATAGACTTATATACCACTTCACAGTGCTTTACAGCCCTCTCAAAACAGTTTACAGAGTCAGCATTATTGCCCCCCAAAAGTCTGGGTCCTCATTTTACCTACCTCGAAAGGATGGTAGGCTGAGTCAGCTTTGAGATTTGAACTGCCAGATTGTAGGCAACTGGCAGTCAGCAGAAGTAGCCCCTGAGGAAGCCAGCATTGTCCAAAGACGCTTCTGTAGTCACACAATTCTATGGTCAGGGGCCTGGAACCTTACCTATTGGTAAGTGGTACCTATTTATCTACTCACATTTGCATGCTTTCGAACTGCGAGATGGGTGGGAGCTAGATGGGGCAAATAACAGGCACTCACCCCATTGTGTGGCCCTTGGGTCTTGAACTCGGGCCATCAGCTGGTTTAATCACCAAGATGTATTTGTTTGTACATAGAGATGGAGATGGAAATATAAATTTAGCATGTTGTAGGAAGCCAGACAGCCAGTTTCTGCTAGCATTCAATTTCCATTTTGGAAATGTTATTTTGAATAGAATTGCCAAGGGTTTATCTCTGAGAAGAGGCTGAAATCTAGGCTTAACTAGCTTCAATCAGGTTGTCTTTAGGGTTTTGGGAGTTAACAATTTGAAATGTCTTTTGGTATATATGGCCTCAAATCACAGAAAGGTGCCAATTATCTTTCTGGTTGACTGTCAAATTCTCTGAAAACTTTGTGTTATATTTTCCTGCTTGGTTATTGACATGGTTAGAGCAAATGTTAGTTCTTCCTTGAGACTTCAGCCTGCACCCACATTTATACACACACACAGTTTTGGGAATGTGTTTTGGCACGCCAGACATAGGAAAAGCATGGGAATGTAAGAACAGAGGAAACATTTTTTTTCATAAATATTTATTTCCAGACCTGAGATATGAATTATTATGTAAATCATAGATGAAAAAGGATATAAAAGGAGAAGTCTTTTCACCTGACACAGAAAATGCAGTTGTCTCTGATTAGTGTCTGCTTCACATAGACTAGCTAAGCAATTTAATTTACAGGCCTTGATGTAAAAATGAATTCGTCACTTAATTTAGTGAATGTTGAGCCATGCTAAATTAACTCAGGAATCTTTTGATACTGTTTTTTTTTTTTTTTTTTTTTGTTTTTTTTAATTTGTGTTGGATTGCTGCTTTAGTAAAAAAAGAGATAAAGGCACATTTTACCTCAGAGAATCCTTCGAAGATAAATACTGCGTGTGTCAAAGACCCCAGAAGGCCCTATGTCAGAGGGAAGTTTCACCATGCACTTTAAAGGTGAAAACATGTCCAGGGCCTGCTGAGCTGAAGGCTGAACTATAACAAAAGCAAAAAGGGGATTTTTTTTTTTTTTTGGTGTAATATAAGGCCACATGAAATCGGAAATTTCATCTTTGGTTTCATAGTGAAGGCATGGGTGTCCAGGAGGACAAATAACACGACACCTGTCATGACATCATCACTCAAACGATGGGGAGAATGTAATTTGCATCTGTTGCACACAAGACTTTATTGTGGCTTGTTCTTGTGCTGAATTGCACAGCTTTTGCAATTTTGTCTGCAAAATTTGATTCCAGGCTGAAGTGAAGGTCTAAGAAACAGGCTTTTGTGGTGTGGAATATCTGTATTACCAAGAGGGAGGGGCTGCTTCCCAGAGGGCCAAGCGGCAGTGGAGCTTGGAAAGTTTGGTTGGAAGGAAGAGGATTAAAATGACTCCTCCCTAATTTTCTCAGGATATATCTATAGTTATGCAAACAGTTACTTTAATTTGGCAAGATTCTGTCTATAGATGAAGAATAATAAAGGAAACTACTCTCAAGTAACTCCATGTTTTGTTCTTGATTCTTGGGGCCTCATAGCTCCTTTGATCACAAATAAGCAGAGGGCTACCTATATGACCTGGGGCTGAGCTCAAGAAGAAGGCATGTATGCCCTTAACCTACATAAAAAAAAAAAAGGAAAATTGCTTTTCAAATCAATTTAAACGTTCCCCCTGTTTCATCCATCTCGCAATCTGCCCATCTGATCTATTGCAGATTCATTTGATGTGGGAATCAATTATTTGGCCAGCTCAGTGGCACATTCTGTATTCCTAAGGAGAATTTGAAGAGGTGGTAACATTTATTTATTTGAATGTAGAACATTGTCCTCCTGGAAGGACTTACCTTTTTCAAAGCAAGAACAATAAAAGCTAGAAAATAAATCATATATGTTTGGGATAAAAGCATACATAGCAGACTAAAAAAAAACAACCGACAGGGGTTCAACAACCAACTTGCCTCCAAGCAGGGGTGGAATTCAACAGGTTTGGGCCAGTTCATGTGAACCGGTAGCTCCAAAGATCAGCTGGGAGTAAACCAAATCGCTCTGACGATCAGCTGTTGGGCCCACCGTCCCACCCTAGCTCTAGTTTTTACTTCATTTCTGGGTTTTCCAGCTAAGCTGATTTGCACAGCACAGTGGATTGCCACGTGTCAGCTGTTTTTACACACAGGGGTTGCAGCAGAAGGTGAGTTGCAAACACTGCACACGGGCGCTCACCAAACCGGTTGTTACACCAGTGGAATTCCATCCCTGCCTCCTAGCCTCAGGAGGACAGCCAGTTTTTGAAGGACTTTCAGAATATAATTAGGGTTGGATCCAGGTGGATCTGTGTGAGGAAAGGCTCTCAGATGGCTTTCAAAGGTCCCTCCTGCAAAATAGAAAAAAAAATCACTGGAAAATAACATTGTGGAAATGATTGATTGATTGATTTGAATGCATTTGTAAGCTGTTCTAGTCAAATGTGTTTCCAGACAGCAGCATACAAATCTTAAAATAAAAAAGTGTAAAAACATAGATATAGACATACCTATGCATATTTTCATTAAAAGCAAAATAACCCTCCCTAAAATTTATAATAAAACATACAAGTCCTGGAATCTGATGTCCTGGAAATGATTACACATTCTCACATCTCCCTTAAAGACCATTCATTTAGCAATCCTTCAAAGTTACAATGGCACTGAAAACAGTGACTTACCGCTGGTCCAATAATTACAAGTGTTACAGCACCCCTGCAGTTAGGCGAACAAAATTTGTGCATTTAGCAACTGGCATGCATATATGATGGTTGCAGTATCTCGGGATCACGTGATTGCCCAGCTGGCTTCCATCAAGCAAAGTCAATGCGAGAAGCTGGATTCACTTCATAACCATGGGACTCATTTAATGACTGCAGCGTTTTGCTTGGACTTCACAGGGTTCTGGTTGTGGGGGGAAAAGAAGAGGACGAAGCATTAGAAATGTTTCCCACTTTAAACTATTAGAAAATTAATATGGGGTTCAATCTGAGCTTGAAATATTCTTTATTGGTACAAAATTAAATAACATGGGATACGAATAGAATAAAATAATAAAAACAAAGATGATAACACTGAACAATTAATAATGCACATAACCAGAGTCTAAGATCAAGGAAAAAACATTCTCAATTTACTATAAAACCAGTATTAAAGTAAATCAACTAAATAGATAGTAGAGCGTATTTAACAGAGACTCTAGAAAGAGTGCAGAGAAGAGCAACAAAGATGATTAGAGGACTGAAGGCTAAAACATTTTGCAGGAATTGGATATGTCTAGTTTAATGAAAAGAAGGACTAGGGGTGACACGATAGCAGTGTTCCAATATCTCAGGGGCTGCCACAAAGAAGAGGGAGCCAAGCTATTCTCCAAAGCACCTGAAGGCAGAACAAGAAGCAATGGATGGAAACTAATCAAGGAGAGAAGCAACCTA